AGGGCGGCCGGCTCAGCCCGCCGCCGCCCGCATAGGCAAGCTGTGCAGGCTCACGGAGCCCCAGCGCGGCAGCCGCCTCCGCGGCCCAGCACGGGGCCTACGCCGGCCCACGCCCATTCCGAGCGCTTGGCAGGGGAAGCCAAGCGCGGAGCCCGCCGCGCCCTGCCCGACGCGGGCGAAGACGCGCGCCCGGAGAGCGGCCAGGCCCTCGGCCGCCGGCGGCGCCGAGGACGGCCGCGCCGCGGCTGCGCGCGCAGCAGAAGCCGCGCAGGCTGAAGCGGCCTGGGCCGCGCGCCGTGCCCCCAGCGCGCGCGGGCGGCTGGCGGCCGCGGCGAGCGGCGGCGCGGCGGGCGGGGAGCAGCGGCGTCGGCGGCGCGCGCCGTGGCGGGCGAGGCAACGCCCGCGGGCGCGGGACGGCGGCCGCGTCGCGCACCGTGACGCGCCGCGGGGCGCCGCCAGGCCCGACCAGCTCGCGGACGTGGTTGCTCGCGGCGTGGGTGACAGCCCCCAGGACCGCGCCCTCGTGCGCCACGAGCTTTTCGGCGACTTTGAGAAGCCACGAAGCTGGCCCGCACGGCTGCGGACGGCCAGCGGCAGCTTTGGCGAGGACGTCCGCCGAGCGGTCGGCCCGCCAATCCGCCGCAGCCACCGCGTGGGCATCCGACCTCGGGGCCGCGCCAAGCACGGCCCGATCGGCGACGAACGGGCGATTGGGGGGTCGATGTCCCGCCCTCTCGGCCAGTCCCTCCCCGTCTACAGAAGCTCGGGACGGCACAAACATGAACCCTCGGAGGTCCGCGCGGATATCTTGGACTCCCTGGCGCGCGGAGCGCGCCGGGCCGCCGGGGGGGCCCCCCAGCGCCGATCCCAGAAGTCCGCGCGGAGCTCCGAGGGTTTGTGTGTTGTGCATTTGTCATTCGACTGCCGTTGCCTTTGAGATCCGGGGGCCAGGTGGCTGGACTCGGCGAGGGGGGAAGTGAGAAGGAGAAGGCCTTCTCAGAAGGCGGCGGGGCTTCTCAGAAGCCCTCCGGCCTTCTGAGAAGTTTTCAGCGCCTTCGGGGAAGGCTTGGATTTTTTTCAAAAAAGGCCCAAGGCTGTCCGAACCTTCTGAGAATGTCCGCCCCTTCTCACTTGCACGCTGGGCTCGCCGCCGAGTCTGATCTTGTGCCATCGAGGTTGGCACCAGCACCAGTATCGGTGGTCGCCTCCATCGCGAGAAGATGACCCTGATCTTTGTGACGGTGGCAATCTTCGGGCTTCTTAGGTGGCCGAGGGATGACCACCAGCGACAGGGTCCCGGATCATCTCCCCCCCCGTGGAGGCACCCCTCCTGTGTCGTTGCTGTTGTTGTTGTTGTTGTTGTTGTTGTTGTTGTTGTTGTTGTTGTTGTTGTTGTTGTTGTTGTTGTTGTTGTTGTTGTTGTTGTTGTTGTTGTCGTTGTTGTCGTTGTTGTTGTTGCTGCCACGTTCCAGTCCCCCAGCAAAGCGGGGCCGTGCGGCGGCGGGAATCCGGCGGACACTGGGACCGGTAGCCCCTCACAGGGGGGGAGCCCCTCACAGGGGGGGGCCTGGGGAGCCGTCTGCTCTGCACGAGGACTGCCGCGCTGGCGCGCCTGTCGTCGTGCGTCATCGAGCGCCACCCCTCGAAGTGGTCCCTCTCTCGTGCAGTAGGAGCTCGAACACCAGACACCCTCCACGAGAAGCCCGACCCTGAGACCCCAGGACGTCCGCTGATTCTTGGTCTGGGAACGTCACGCTTGCAATTGCCAAACCATCGGAGCCCATAAACCCAGGGCGCCCTGGAGGCAGGCAGGGCGTTTCTTGGCATGAGTTTCCATTGTATCCTTCGAGGAACGCTCCCAGGTACTCCAGATTTCGTAAGAAAGGGAGGGGGGTCTCATTTCGGGGGGGGGGTCTCCTCCAGGCTATCTTGGAGGGCCTGGGGGGGGGGTTTGGGGACGACGTTTTGCAGGGTTCTCCCACGGTCGGGGGGGGGTCTGAAATGGCTTGTCCTGGAGGGTCCAGACCCCCTCCCTTTCATTACGAAACCTGGAGTAATCCACGCCCCCTTGATCCATGCTTGCGACCGCCTGCTCCAACCTCTTGGGCACGCCGTGGGAGCGAGCGCTCGCAGCGTCGGTGCCCCTCCGACTCCGCCCCCCCCGCCGCCAATCTGCCTCGAGCGGGCCGGCTCTCACGGGAGGCCCCCGCTCGACCCGGCTCTCACGGGAGACCCCCTCCCTTTTACTACGAAACCTGGAGTCTCCTTCGAGGAACGCTCCCAGGTAGGCTCAGCCTGGTCGGCTCGGGGCCCCCGGCCGTCGCCCGGAAGCGGTCGGGCGTCTTCGCGCGGCCCCAGCGCGCGGGCCCGCCCGCCAGCCGCCGCCACGCCGCCCTGCGCGCGCCGCCGCACTCGCTCGCGGCCGTCGGGGCTCCACTCTGGGAAAAAACACACAGACACAATTAATCGTCGATTCCGAGAAAAATATGGGAAAATATGGGAAGTGGGGGGAAGACAAAAACCCAGAAAATATGGGAAAATATGGGGAATCTGTTTATTTGTGTGTATTTATTTGTGTGTCCTGGGGCCCCTTCAACTCTCTCATTCGGGGGAACGTAAGACTCGGGTAAGCCGGAACTCGGGTTTGCCGACGTTTTGACGGGCGCTTCTTGGATTCTGACGGTCCAGTTTTCGTGGGACGTTCGCAGTGGGAGCTCGCGTCAAATTTCAGATTGCGTCTCGTCATTTTTATGATGGACCCCGTCAGGCCAACCCGCGTCCCCCGTACCCGAGTCTAACGTCTCCCCGACTCATCCACGACCTTCAGGGGCAGCGTCAGGGGCGGGGTGGAGGCTCGGGGGGGGGATGCGCCGTCCCCCAGTCGCCCATTCGTCGCCGATGGGGGGCCCGACGGGCCCATCCTGCCCAGGAGCGTGCGGGTCTGCTGTCGACGGGGGCCTGTCGCTGATCTGTCGGCGACGCATCGCGGATTCCAGCTCGGTGCTTCCCCCCCTCTTGAGCCAGTCGCTTCCCAGCGTTGCCCCTCAGGCCTGCTTCATCTCCTCCTGGGGCCTGCACGCCTGAATCAATGGCCGTCAGGATCTTCACCCTCTCGAGGCACTCCTGCGCCGCCCCAGCCGTCGGCGGGGCAGCCACACCCCGAAGGGCTCCACTGGCACGGCCTGCGCCACGTCATCCTCGTCCACGTCGAGCTCGGCGTCCGCGCCTTCGACCACGACCAAGACTGGGGCCCTCACGCCCTCGACGACGCCCACGTTCACGACCGGGGCCATGACGCACGGGGCCCCCGCGGCGCTCGACTCCAGCCCGTCGCCGTCCTCGACCGTCACGTCCACCTCGGCCACCACACCACCATCCAGCGACACCTTGGTCTTCTGCTCCATGGTGCCGACCTGGTCCGGCTGCATGCTGACAGGGACGAAGGCTGTCGCGCCCGTTCGAGGCCCTGTGGCCAGCTCCAGCTCCAAGTGCACAGCCTCCACCACGGGGGCGAGAGTCGCCGAAGGGTGTCCGAGGGGAGCCGCCTGCCGCGCGGCCGGTGGGCTCGAGTGCCCTGCCCAGCTGCAGCGCCGCCCTGCGCAGGGCTCGACCAGGCCTTGGGGGCAACCGCAGCTGCTGCCGCGCCGCGGCCTGCGGTGCTTCCCCCGTGCTGGGCCGGTGCGCGCCGCGCGCCCAGGCGGTCGCACGGCCGCCGGCGCGCGCGCGCGGCGAGGCACGGGCGGCCCTGCAGAGCGCAGCCAGCGCCGCTGCACGATGACGGCCCCCCCGCCCGACGGGTCTCGCGCCGTCGCCTGCGGGCGGGGGATGCGCCGCGCACCTCATGGCGGCCCAGCGCCTGCCGGCCGCGCCGACCGTGGCCTCTCGCGCGCGCCCGCGGGCCCTCGCGAAAAACGTGCGCCGAGCGGGGGCCTCCCGTGAGAGCCGGCCCGCTCGAGGCAGATTGGCGGCGGGGAGGGGCACCGACGCTGCGAGCGCTCGCTCCCACGGCGTGCCCAAGAGGTTGGATCAGGCGGTCGCAAGCATGGATCAAGGGGGCGTGGATTTACTCCAGGTTTCGTAATGAAAAGGAGGGGGTCTGGACCCTCCAAGACAAGCCATTTCAGACCTCCCCCGTGGGAGAAGCCTCCAAAACGTCGTCCCCAGACCCCCCCAGGCCCTCCAAGATAGCCTGGAAGAGACCCCCCCCCGAAATGAGACCCCCCTCCCTTTATTACGAAATCTGGAGTAGCGAGGGGTCCCGTTTCCACGGGAACTCCCGGATCTCCGCCGCCGAGCGAGGCGCCACGGGCCGCATCTTGGGGAGGGCACCTCCCCCGATCCATGGATTTGGCGACCGCGCGCCAACTCCAGGGATCGCTCATCCATGCTTGCGCGCCCCCGGTTGGGGGGGGAGGAGGACAGCGGGAGCGGGCCGAGGCTGAGGAACGGCCACGCGGGGTGCTCTGCCCCACGGGCGACCGAGGCGGTGCCCCTCGTCAGGCCACCGAGGGTGCGGTGGGGGGGTGGAGGAGGAGGAGGGGGGAGGAGGGCGGAGGAGGGGGGAGGAGGGGGGAGGAGGGAGGAGGAGGGAGGAGGAGGGAGGAGGAGGGAGGGAGAAGGAGAGAGACGGCGGAGGAGGTGGAGGAGGGGGTGGAGGAGGAGGAGGAGGGGGAGGAGGGGGACGAGGAGGAGGGAGGACCAGTGTGAACCCAAGACTCATCAACGGTATTGCAATAAACATTCCTTCCGTCGAAGTTCCCTCTTCGTAAGCCCCTACACGGATTCATTCTCACCGAGTGAGGTACCCCGTTGGAAGACAACCGTCTGAAATTTTGGAGTTTTGTCAGTGCACCATTCTTGGGACATCAACGCCGCGAATCACCGTTATTGTTGCGTCTTGACGATCCGGAATCATGACAGAACGCCATACCTGGGACTTCAACGCCGCGAATCAACGTGATTGTTGCACCCTTGCATTCCGACGTTCTGTCGTAACATCATGTCTGGGACGTTAACCATGAGAGTCTCTGAACCTGGCGCTAAGGCGATAACCACATCTTGAACAGGAACCGCCCTCCATCTGTGCATTTCTCGCAAATTTTGAATACGACGAATGTGCGCGGCGCGAAGGCGAGAGCCACATTTTGAAAAGAAACCGCCCTCCACCCGTGACATTCTTGCAGTTTTTTTAACGATTGTGCGTGGCGCTAAGGCGAGAGCCACATTTTGAAAACGGACCGCCCTCCATTTGTGAAAGTCCTACAAACTTTTAAAAACGAATTCGCGCGGCGCTCAGGCGAGAGCCACATTTTGAAAACGGGCCGCCCTCCATCCGTGAAGCTCCTGCAACTTTGAAGCTTGAGGATCATGAATGGTGAGGAAGTCTCGCGCGAAACGCCCAGCCCGCACTCTCGACTGGCCTCGGCGTGCGACAGGGAGGAGCTATTTCTGAGGAGAAGGGATGGAGGTTGGAGGAGGAGGAGAAGGAGGAGGAGGAGGAGGGCAGGAGAAGGAGGGCAGGAGAAAGAGGGCAGGAGGAGGGCAGGAGCAGGAGGATTGCGCTTCCCCTCGGTGCCCAGACGAACCACTACCTCAGCACCGCTCTGCACTACGCGGCGCAGCAGGGGAACGTGCCCCCCCGCCCAGCCTTCGGCTCGCGCGCCGGCCCCGAGAGCCGCTGCGGAGATGGCAGGGCTCTCGTCCTTTCCCTCACCTGACCCTCCTCCTCCTCCTCCTCTCCTCCTCCTCCTCCCTCCTCCTCCTCCCTCCTCCTCTCCCTCCCTCCTCCTCCCTCCTCCCTCCTCCCTCCTCCCTCCTCCCTCCTGCGCTCGGAGGGGGGCGCCGCCGTCCTTTCCGTCACCTGACCCCTGACCCCCTCCTCTTCTTCCTCCTCCTCCGAAAGAGCGCGTTCTGTGGTCGCTTGGCGGGGGAGGGGTTGGAACCGGACCCCTCCCCCCTGGATGGAAGGAGGGGGGGGGGTCCCTGCCGTGACGGAGGGGGGGGGGATTTCGACCCCCCCACATCCCCCCTGCTTCCCCTCTCCTCGGGCCGGCGCTTGCGTCGGCGGCGGCTGGCGGCGGCGGCGGCGGCTGGCGGCGGCGGCGGGGACGACGATTTCCCTTCTGGGCCAGCGCCGGCGCCTGCTGCGGCGGGCGGCGGCGGCGGAGAGCGTCGACGAGGACGACGGTGGTTGTGGTGGTGGTTTGGTGGTGGTGCGGTGGTGGTTTGTGGTGGTGGTGGTTGTGGTGGTTTGTTGTGGTGGTTTGTTGTGGTGGTTGTGGTGGTGGTGGTGGTTTGGTGGTGGTGTGGTGGTGGTTTGTGGTGGTGGTGGTGGTGGTGGTGGTGGTTTGGTGGTGGTGTGGTGGTGGTTTGTGGTGGTGGTGGTGGTGGTGGGTTGTGGTGGTGGCGGTGGTTTGTGGTGGTGGTGGTGGCGGTGGTGGCGGTGGTTGTGGCGGTGGTGTGGTGGTTTGTGGTGGTGGTGGTGGTGGTGGTGTGGTAGATTGTGGTGGTGGTGGGTTTTTGTGGTGGTGGTGATGGTGAGTTGTCTTGGGTGCTGGTGTGGTGGTGGGGTGGTGGTGGTTTGTGGTGGTGGTGGTGGGTTGTGGTGGTGGCGGTGGTTTGTGGAGGTGGTGCTGGTGGTGGTGGCGGTGGTGGTGGTGGTGGTGGTGTGGTGGTTTGTGGTGGTGGCGGCGGGTTGTGCTGCTGGTAGTGGTGGTGGTTGTGGCGGTGGTGGTGGTGGTGGTGTTGTAGATTGTGGTGGTGGTGGTAGTGGTGGTGGGTTTTTGTGGTGGTGGTGGTGGTGGTGATGGTGAGTTGTGGTGGTTGTGGTGTTGGTGGTGGTGGTGGTGGCTGTGGTGGTGGTGATGGTGGTCGTTGTGTGGTGGGTTGGTGGTGGTGGTGGTGGGTTGAGGCGGTGGTGGTGGTGGTGGTAGTGGTGGTAATCGTCGCTGCGTCCCCGCCGTGGCCAGCGCCAGCCCCGGCGCTGCTGGCCGCCGCCAGCGTCGGCGCTGGCGCCAGGGCGCCAGGGGGGGGTTTTAACCCCCCCCTTTCCGGCGCTAGGGGGGGGGGTTGAACCCCCCCCTTGGGCTGCTTCTGGTCATCGTCGTTGCGTCCCCGCCGTCGGCGCTGCTGGCGGCCGCCAGCGCCAGCGCCGGCGCCGGCGCCGAGAGGGGGGGGGAGGGTTCGGGAGGGGGGGGGTTTGGGGGGAAAGGGGTTCCCCCTAGTTTTGATCGACTGCGCAGAGTGTTGGGGGGGGCCCCCCCCAGGTTCGAAACGCGCCGCCGAATGTTCCCAAGACAAGCGCCCGTGAAACGCGTTCTCTCCCTCCTCTTCCTCCTTAGGATGGACGAACTCATTCGCCTTTCCTGCTCCTGGTGGGAAGCAGGATGCTCCTTCATCCTCCCGCTGGTTTGCTCCTCCTGCCCTCGGCTACCTCCGACTGCGGCGTGGTCCCGCGCCGCTGCGATCCAAACAGTTGCTCCTCCTCTTGCCCCTTCTTCCCCCCCCTCCTGCCGTGTGTCTTGTCTCTTTTCCCCCTTCCCCCTTTTTGTTCACATGTGCGTGGTGCAGGGCGGCCCCACTGTCGGAGTGCTCGGCATCCTTTCGTGCCGCAGTCTTGCAGTGGAAGCAGGCAGCAGGAGGAGTCGGAGGAGGAGCAGCAGCAGGGCTCAAATTTGAGATGGTGGTTCAGGCGTGAGTCTAAAGGGGCGGGCGTATTCTGCCTCGTCTCCAGTTTGGGCTGTCTTAGACCTCCTTGAACCTGTTTCGGGACTGCCGTGGGGGTCTGGAGGGCCACCTCAGGGAGGGTGAGTGCTGGCGTCTGTGGGCGTCCGAGTCGTGGTGTGGGGCGGAACCAGCAAATTGATCGGTACTCGTTGTGGCCAGACGCCAGTAATAATGCAGCGCACTTGATCGCAATGGTACTTAGGCCGATGAGGAGTATGACGATGACGGCACGACGACGACAATGAGGAATATGATGGTGATGGTGATGGTGATGATGATGACGATGACGACGCCGCCGACGACGATGCTGACGATGCTGATGTGGACGAATGCTATGTTGATGATGGTGATGCTCATTATGCTGCTGCTGATGCTTTATACTGCTGCTGATGATGCTGCTGCTGATGATGATGATGATGCTTATGCTGATTATGATTATGATTTTCATGATGCTGCTCGTGATGTTGGTGATGTTTATGATCACCATGCTGCAGATGTGGCTGCTGATGATGATAATGATGATGATGATGATGATGATGATGATGATGATGATGATGATGATGATGATGATGCTGATGATGATGATGATGATGATGATGAGGATGAGGATCACGATGATGACGACGATGCTGATGCTGATGATGATGATGATGCTGATGCTGCTGATGATGCTGCTGATGATGATGCTGATGATGGCAGTGCTGCTGATGATGCTGGTGGTTGTGACTGTTAGGGTAGCGGAAATAAGGATGCTCGTTTTATTGGTGATCATCATTCGTATGTTAATTGCTAGAATTATCTTGATAATGGTGATGATGCTGATTTTAGTATTGGTAGGAGTATGGCTCTCACTCTACCTGGTACACTGCTGCTGCTGATGCTGATGCTGATGATGCTGATGCAGATGATGATCATGATGGTGATGATTATGGTGATGACTGTGATGCAGGTTGCGATGGTTGATGATCCGTACGAGGAGGAACAGCAGGAACAGGAGGAAGAAGAGTATGAGGAGCATAACGGGGAGGCGGAGGAGGAGGAGGAGGATGAGAAGGAGGAGGAGGAGGAACAGGTAGAGAGCCGAGGAGTCGAGACGGCAAGGAGGTGAACTGCTGTCAGAACCGTTCTTCGACACGACGCGCCCCGCCGCCGCGCCGCGACAGTCTGAGATCGTAGAGCTGATAGCCCTGAAGAATGCGGAGGCGCGCGCGCAGCCCCCGAGACTAGCCCTGCGCCAGCCAGGCGTTGCTGCAGGAGAGTCGGGCATGGCCAGGAGCCCCTTGGTAAGGGAAGCCGGCTCGTGATTATGCCCTCAATCCAGTAAGTTTTGACGCTTCGCATATCCCCACTCGTATGCGCCGCAAGGGCGACTTACTCCGCAGCTTGCACTTCTGTGCGCTTGGTGCGTCCCAGTGAATGCGGAGCATTTTGCTCAGTGCACGTGCATTGCACGCCTCGCGTGGAATTTGCCTGTTCCGCCGTCCCGGACACGCCTGTTGCCGCCTGACCTTTGTCGCGCGGCCGCCGACCAAAAAGTATCCCCACTCGCCCATCCAGAAACGATCGCCAGGCGAGTTGTCCGAATCAGGAAAGCGTAGAAGCACGCAGTGGAAGAGCCGCCCTGGCGTCGTGTCTGGGCGCCAAGCCGGCAGAAATTACCAGAATCACTGAATCGGGTCTGCCGTGCCTGGTGTTTCTTCTGGTGATGGCCGTGCCGTGCCCGTTACGGTCGGGAACTTTTGGATCGCGTGTCGCTCCGCCGCTATCCATGTTCCCATTCCCAAGCGTCCGCGCCCCGTGCTTTTCCGAGCCTTCCGCCCCGCGGATCGGAGCGACACGCTATCCGCTCGCAAGGCAGCGCGTATCGCCCAGGCCGCCGCGGCGACGCGCTATCCGACGGCTCCTGACTGAAGTGGAATGGGTTGGGCGGGGGGGGGGGCGTTCTCTGGCACACATCACCAGGCCCGGTCCCACCAAACCCGTTCCCGCCAACGCTCGGGGTCGGCAAAGAGGGGGCTAATGACTAGGGGGGGTGGCGGGGGCCATGATATTTTCCCAGATTTCATGGCGCCTCTTCTTATTCCATTACGCCCCTGGCTCCCCCCTGGGCCGCGCACGTGCCGCTGGCCATGATTTGCAACCCCCCTTCTTGGACACCCCCCTCTTGGCCGCCCCCGTGACGCCCGACAGAGAGGGCCAGCTCAGCACGGGGACCAGTTCGTGGCTCCAGCTGCCCACCCCGAGCTCGGCAGGCCCAGGCCTCCTCGAGTCGTGGCCAGCTCCAGGACGGGCGGCTTCCTGCCAGTCTTCGGCCCAAGGGGCCTCTGGCCGCGCTCCAGTTTTTTTTTTTTGGTTGACTAGTTTATTGTATGGTGATATTAATTTAGTTGGTTTGGTTTTAAGACCACCGAGGATTAAAAGCTGGTTGCGGGGAAGGGGTCGAGACCTGCAGGGGTTCACGTCGCGACAAAAATCACGACGTCGGAGGTCAGGGGGGCCTGGTTCAACCGCGAGCCAGCTTGAGCGAGGCCAGCTCATCGAAGGCAGGTCTCGCTGAGTCGATTCCACAAGGCCCAGCCCAGCAGAACAGCAGTTCCACAGGCCTGGTCCCACAGGACCAGTTTTCCCGAGGCTTGGTTCCGCAGAGCCAGCTCAGCAGGTCCAGTTCGTGAGGAGGAGGAGGGGGAGGAGAAGGAGGAGGAGGAGGAGGAGGAGGAGGAGGAGGAGGAGGAGGAGGTGATGCAGAAGAAGAGCATATGCATAGAGTTTGTCAGCACCTACAGCAAATGCGGAGGTAAGGGGCCTGAGAGCTGGACTAAATGCGAGTTCGTGCCCATACGTGGTCGCGAGTGTTACAGATGTGGGAAGAAAAGGACACATCGCGGCACAGTGCAGCGAAGAGGAAATTCACTATGTCGAGCAACACAAGGAGACAACACCAGAGGTAGAGAAACCTGGGGGATCGAGCGGGACGCAAAACATCTCATTCGGACAGCCCATGTCGGAATGCTATGGGCCAGATCCCCCGTGTGACCCGCCTGGGTCAGACGGTTGGACCCAGCAGTGCCATGAAAGGCAAAGCCACGGATTGATATAATTAGCGTGGACACCGTGCACCACGGGATACGGCTGTTGCCTAGGGTGTTCCCGACGCACTAGCTGGCGAGCAAGAGTCCAACATTTCCTGCAGGCCGAGAAAAATTGGCAACATAAGCGCGCCGAAGTGAAGCTGATGGAGGCACCTGGAACCTGGCCGGAAGCCAACGCGGTCCCCAACAATGAGGTCATCGGGTCGCATTAGACCGTAGTTGTTACTCTGGATTCGGGTGCCCACATCACTGTGGGAGCACCAAGCGTAGGAATTCATTTCCGAGTCATTCCCGCGGCGGCCTCGCGAGCAGGAAACCACCACAGTGCCGCCAACGTCGCAGTTATCAGGAAGTATGGCCAAAGAGTGATCGTGGAAAATACCGAGCACTTGGCCCGAGTGAGCGTGTCCATCAAGGCAGCGGATGCTAAACAGGTATTGGGGTCAGCGCGCGGCATGGTAGAAACTGGGAATAGGATCGTATTTGATAGAGATGAAAAGTGGTGGCCCTGCAGTTACATGGAACATAAAGCAACTGGGCACTGTGGCGCATGATAGAGGAGGAACGTTCCAGTTCGATATCGGAATATCGGCAGGAGTACGGCGAAGAGGACACAACATATCCGTAGATGAGGGGTTACGAACGAGGAGGACTTTCCGAAACGGGGGGTCCTACCGGAGGGGTTGTTCCACTGAGTGTACCGATGCCCGTAAGCCCTAAGCATAATCCGTTATTTCAGGAACATATTGTGAAGGAGATGATGGAGATGGGGCAGCGTGCTAAGTGTTTGAAAACGAGGATGTGTATGTCAGTGAAGATGCCGAGTTACCTAAGAGGTCGCGTTGCGGTTTCAGGCCAAACAAAAAAACAGGCCGATATCCGCGACGAGACGCACGTACTTCACCGCAGTTGATGCCCCCATTGCGTTCGAGGTAAAGCTAGGAAAAAAAGCCGCACAAAGAGGCAACGTGAACCAAACGCGAGAATGCCCATTATCTCCGCAGATTACATGTGGTTAAAAGGGAAGAAAACACGACCACGACGAGGAAAATAGTGGACACGCGGTCCTGGCCATGCACTGCCGAAGCACCAAACGGACTTGGAGAAAAATTGTGTTCAATAAAAGGACCATGCCCATATTCTGTTCGAGTAATATCTGGCATACTGGCATGGGGCTATCTGACAATCAGTCTCAAACGCGAAGGTGGGCCAGCAGTCACGGCAGTAAGGGAGGCCGTTGCAGGGTTGCTTGATTTTTGAATGGGGGTGGAAGTCAGTCCGGTGGGGGGCCCCCGAGCTAACAGAGAAGTTGAAGAGGGCATTGCGAACGGTACAGGGTCAACTGAGAGCCGTGAGGAGCGCGTTCGGTGATAAGTGCCAGACGGAATTTGGTGAACACCTTCGCGCAGACCCCGTGGTCGGTAGCGCGCGCGTCCTCAGTTGTGAACCAATCCGTTGTGGGAGCTCAGGTGCAGGGGTATTACATTTACCGAGCCACTACCATATTTCGGGGAGTGCATCATGCATCGCACGGTACAGAGCAGAAATCGCGTCGAGAAGTTAGGGGGCAGGTGGGAAGAGTGTTCTTAGGCGTCAACGAAGACAGCCAGGATATCATCGACGGCGCGCTGCAGGGAGCTGTTTAATCCCAGGAGTTTCGGAGGAGGGAAGTGGGGAAGAGCGGTGGAACGTCGACGAGGTGCCCGACGTGGAGGGGTGATCCTGACGTCCCGATCCCGGCGCAGCGGGTTATGAGGTCAACGCGAGAGTCATTTTTCCCCTCGCGAAACCGCTCGACAGTGACGATTGTGCTGACGCCGCCCCCATCATTGCGCGATGAATGTTTTAATAGAGCCGAGTGCCCAGCCGTGGGGCCCGCGCCGGGGCGTCGCGGGCGCGGGGTCTCTGTCGGAGAAGGCTCGGCTCACGAGACGCGCGACGCAGACTGCCCATCGCGATTTTATTGAGTGCCTGAAGCAGCAGGGCAATCCGAATTTCCAGGAAGTGTTAGCCGCGGGGCAGTGAAGACAGATGCCGCGCAATCAGGAAGAGAACAGCGCTGGGCCCAGCGTTGAACCCCAGGTTCCCGAGCTCATCGACGCGTGGACTTGCGGAAGCCAGGATGCCGTCCGGTAGCGCAGGGCCACGCGAACCCAGTTGAATGTCCCTGGCAGATGTCCGCGAGCAAGCATTCGGGGAAGATGCGCCACATTGGGCAACGGGCGAGTGAGTCACGCCATTTTGAAAGGAATGGGGGGCATCGAGGGGGTTTGCTATGAATGGGGAAGTGATTGAGAACGAGAGATGGGAGAGGCGTCCATTGGACGGGCTCAGTTCGATTTGGGGGGAGAGGGCGCAGGCGAGGAAACATCTCCGGCCCCGGGCGCCGCCGCATCCGCGATGTCGGGGTGAAACGGGGCCCGGGGGGCGCTGGCGGGGAGGTCGACCCGGAGGGCCTGCCGGCGATCGCGGCGATAATCTTTGAGTTGGGCAAGGAGATAAGGAATCGACGGTGGGCTGAGGCATTTGGGGGCCAGTGAGATCCCAGGCAAGTGGATGGTCAATTTCGAGACAATCGTGCCCTGCGAAGTCAACAAGATCGGGAGAGCCGCGCTGTCGTCAAGGGAATGAAGCGCATGTCTCTCTAGCCTGCTCGCCTGCTGGAGTTGCTGGCGCGGCGGAGAAGATGGCTCAGCCCTGGCTTGGCAGTGCGCCTGACCACCTGCGATGAACGCGGCTTCCCGTGGAATTATCAGCGTGGCCCTGAGAAGAAAGACCGAACAAATTATGGGGCGCAAGTCACCGATCCTGTCGGTCGGTCGTCCCGTGTGTTCGGCCTTCAGCAGCCTGCAGACATTGAGTGCCAATCGGTTTGCGGCAGAAGCATTGAGCGATGTCATGGTGCCTTTGAGCTGTGCGCAATGCAGAGGGGGATCGGTTTCCATCCTCTGTTCGAGCATCCAGCCAGCGCACCCAGCCGGCGCGCGATTTTCGCGCGAGGCGTGCTCGGGGCCGCGGGTTTAAACGCGTGCGAGGAGGGCGCGCGGCATTTTGGCACGGGGCGCGAGGATGGCGCGGACGAGCTGGAAGTAGAGATGTTGACGCGACAAGCGTGCTATCTTATGGCAGAGTACATGAACTCAGCGCGCCCTGATGCGGAAGCCACTTTCACTGATGAAGCTCGTCGCGGAGGGCCGGGCCAGGGAGGTCGGCGCTGCCTGGGGAAGGGGGGCCAGCACGGAGCGATTGCGTTCCCGGGGTGGCCGCCAACTTGGGCACTGGACAAACTATTGGGGGCCGAGAAGACAGCGGGATGCGAGGCAGAGACGAGGGGGGGGGGCATGTCAGAGGGGGGTCAGGAACGTCGTGGCCGCGTTCGCTTGCCAGCCCGCGTGCGACGCCCAGGTCTGCCGGTGGGAGCTCGGTGCGTGCCATCGCCAAACGCTGTTGTTTATTCTTGGGCTTTGCGAGGGATGTGGAGGTGTTGGGAATCCATTGCCGTGAAAGCGCCGGGATGTCCTCGTGGTGCAGCGCGTCGGAGATGGGGGTAAATTTGCACGGTGTTGCGTCGGGGGCCGGACGAGATTCTGAGCTCGCGCGAGGGGCCATGCTTGGGGGAATGGAGCAGTTCGGGAAGCACCGGGTCTGTGTCAAAAAGGTGAGGGAGGGAACCTGTTGGGGGGTCACCGGAATGGGGCCAATAGGTGCCAGGTGGAAGGGCGTAGACAGGGGGGCGACGCCAACTTGGAGTATCGATCCCGGTTAGTGCCCCAGCGAGTTGCATGGCGCTCGAAAGAACAGAACATATTTGCTGCTACTCCGCCATGAAGCGGGAAAACCTTGTTTTCTTCATGGCAGCCTCGGGAATCGGATGCCAAATTGGGCGAGAAAGAGCAGGTGGTGGAATCAGGTTTTGCCGACGCGAGGAGAGCGCAATTCTATGCGCAGGGTGAAAGGACATCATCGCTCAGCTTCAGGATGAGAATTCGGAGCCAGGTGCGCGCGGGAAATTCTTGGAATCCATGCGTGGCGCCAGTGGCGCAGCAAGCAATCGGGGGGGCTGTTGCGTGGATTTCGCCATGGAGATTGAGTTCGCTGGCAGGTGGGCCTCGCCGAGCGTGTTCAGGCGCGAAAAGAAGGAGGTTTGGTTGGATGTTCATGGCGACGATGTCGCAGCATCATGTAATGACTACGATCTGAACTGGCTTGAGAAGGGGATCAATACAGTGCGAAATTCGAAGTTGAAGTCAGGGGATGGTTGAGTTAGGGGTGGAGAATGAGGTTGATCAATCAATTCGAATATTTAACAGAGACAGTAATTGGGTGGAACCGTGATGGGTCATTGTATGAGGCCGATCAACGTCGCTGGGAAGTTCGGGTTGAAGGGCTTCATTTCAATTCCTGCCGAACAGCTGCCCGCGCAGAGATTCCGAGCATTTCTAGCGCGAAGTCGTTTTTCTCGTGCAGGATCAATCGGACATGTCTTATTAGCCGGACGCGTGGCCAAGCCTGTCGCTGGTGCCCGGGAAAATCTCGCCGACCTTGGGAAGCGCCTCGAATGCCGAAGTCGATGCAGTTACGTGTGCAAGTGCCATAGTTTACCCGGGAGCTGGCGGCGTGGACCGACGCCGATGATTCCCGGGTGCAAGAGCGGCCGATCGGCAAAGTTATGTGGGGACAGCAAATCATAAAATTGCGGGGCGATTCCCAGAGCGTCACTGCATTGCCCTGAGGGGAAGCAGAGTATTGCCGAATGGTTACAGGTTACAGGTGGCTCAGCAGTGTTCGGTCATCAGGCCGTTCTCAGAGACTTCGATATTTCCGCGCCAGTCATGGTAAGGAGCGACGCCGCAGCAACGACGTCAATCGCCAGCTAGAGAGGCTTAGGACAAGTTAGACGCGCAGAGGTATGTCAGCCGCAGCTGTAGGATGAAGTCAGGAGAGGAAATCCGAGTGGGGGAAGTAGGCGCTGGTGACAGTCTCGCCGACGCGGGAGCTAAGCGCGTCGCCGGTGGCGCGGTTGCCAAACGCGTGCGCGACAGCACTCGCATTGCATTGCAATGGTGGCGTAGGTTTGCGCCCGCCCCGGAATGTTAGCGCGAGCTGCAGCTTTGTGCTGCCCGAGTTCATCGTGCTCACCACCTGCCCCTCTTTTTCAATCTGGTCCATCGGCCTCGTGGCGGGCGGCGGCGGCGGCCCGGCTGGGCCCGATCCGGCGACCGTGCCCGAGGGCCTGGAGGTTGCCTCAATGGCTGGCGGCGACGAAGTGCCGGGCCACGGGCTCGTTCATCGGGGCGCCGCGTTAAAGCAAGTCAGGCGCAGGCTGGGCAACGAGGAAAGCGCCCTCAAAGCTGTCGCCGGCGCGTGCAAATGGCGCCGACATCGCGGTCGCGGGTTACCTCGACAAGAACAACCGCCAGCGGGGGCAGTTAGAGACGCAGGCGGAGACCCTGAAGGCGGATGTCGAGGCGTTAAAACAGGTTGGGGCAGTTGATGAAGAGGCGCGCCTGGTTAGACATCGCCAGGTGGCTTGGGGCGTGGCGGCGACCGTTTGGCTAGCGCGCCAGACTGGAGGCGCCGTGGCCCAGTTGCCCGAGCAGTCGCGCTGGTGTCCCATCCGTTGCCTGCGCGGTGGGCGAAATTGAGTGCCGCGCGCGCTCTGTGTCCCATGATATGTTAACCGGCGCTGATACCTCCAATCTCCTTGATTGCGCTGGAGCGCTGTCTCCGCCGACGCCCTGAGGGGGCGCCTTCGCCGTGGACCGTGCCGACCGCCGGGGGGACTGGCGGGGGCCGTGTCGCGCCGCCCAGCGCGGGGCTTCCGCCAGTGGCCGCGCCTGAGGGAGTCGTGGAAAGGCCGAGCTTGGAAGCGCCATCCATCCAAGGCCGAGGGCTCCGGGCCACCCATCAAACCAACGCCGAACCCCGAAAAGCAGTCCTCGATCGGAGGGCGGGCCGAAGCGGGCCCGCCCAGGTAAGGGAGCCTCTGACGAGTGCCGGCCCCGCCCCCGCAGCCGGCCGCCCGGCGGCGGGGGCGCCGGCGGAGGCGCGGCGTTGCCGAGCGGCCCCGGGGCCGGGGAGTTACCGAGCGAGCCCAAGGCCGGCGGGCCCAAGGCCAGGGGGCCCAAGGCCCGAGTTTACAGGCGCCGCCGCTGGCGGACAGGGCGCGGCCGCCGACTCGGCCGCCGCCCTCAGGGGCGTCGGCCCGTCTCCGCGCTCGAATTCCCTTTCGTCGCCGCTAGCGCCCCCAGTGATGCGCGGAAAGGGCCGGCGGCGAAGATGGTGGGCGGCGTGGCCTCAATGCCGTCGTTTCCCAGACCGACAATAATCGGCTCGCCCAAGCTGCTCGCGTGTTTTGGCGGAGTTACTTCGGCGAGTGGGCCGACTGGCGCGGGGCGCGTGGCGCGGGGCCCCGCGGGCCATCTGATCCTTGATGATGACAGTGCGAAATGCCGCTCCAGCTTGTAGCTCCGCCATGGCGACGCGTGTAAGCCGTTGCCGTTAGCGTGTCTGGAGAGCGCCCCTGCATGGAGGAACGAGTTGACCAGTTACCGTCTTGACATGCTTGGCAAGTGGATTGGCCGGGTCAGTCACCTGGGGGCCAAGTTGCCTCGGGGCTTTCGCATCGCATTCAGTCCGAATCACCTCGCATCTGCGTTCGCCGAGGCGCGGCGCTGCAACCGAGGCCCCGGCCAGGGCGCACCTGGAACTCAGGTGCTCATCCAAGCATGCCCGGCTATGCATGTGCGCGGGCCCCTGGCTATGTTCGGCACGATGTTTGGCAGGTACTGGGTGAAGAGGATCATCGTAGACTATGTGAAGTTAGCCCAGGCACTGTTGCAATGCGTTTCAGCGCATAAGAGCTAGCTGAGTCCTTCATCAAGTTCGCTGGCAGGCTCGCCATCTTCCACAGTCAGAACGAGGTGCTCGAGGGGTTCAGTCAGCGGGGGCGAGATTGGGGCGCCAAGGCCAGCCCTTGGGATCCGCCGGCACGAAAGGTGTCGATCTCCACCAACGACACGGTGATCGACAACCGTGGCCGCGCGTCCCAATTCCAGACGCGCGCCGCCGTGCCAGGTTCCGCACAGAAGCAGTGCGTCGGTAATCCTGGCTGCAAGATATTGGCTTCAAGTGGTGAGGTAGGGGGGGCTGGTGGATTGCAGACCCGAGCGCGGGCTCTGAGTTACTGCGCGCGCGGGAGTCCAACGTGACGTTCCAAGTTGCCTTCGGAAGCCAGACCGCACCTTCTGGGAAGAGGTGGGTCGCGCCGACAACGTCGTGGATCGGAGCGTGAACCTGCGTCAGGTAGGACGACTACGATTTCTGGCTTGATGGCAATGAGCACGGCGTGGTCTATCGGTCAAACGTCTTGTGCGATGCTGTCGATAAGACGAACTGTCGGTTAGCCGCCATCACCTCCGCTAGGCCGTTTCCTTTTCCCCTCTCTCCTTGCTACTAACCGCTGACGTTGTTGCCGACTTTGCGCTACTTTGCACTCTGCGACACATGAACGAGTGCATCGCGTGGTAGGAGGCCCCTGCGCGTTTGGCGCCATCACTCATGGCCGCTTTCTAGATGTGCAGGTTTGCGCGTTACTACGTAACGCAGCTCTTGCAGCTCACTGGGTGGCTCGGCAGACCACGCTCTGATTTCGTTGGCCTTCATCCGGTTCGCTGTTCAAAATGTTTCCCTCGTCGCTTTCATCGTCCATGTTGGCCGAGGGGGTGGTAAAACATGGTCTAGCGTCTGGGCCAGGATGAGCTCCGCATCATGCGTGCGTCGAACGGTTGTTGTTATCAACGCCGTTTGGCTCACGTATCCAGCAGCTGATGGTGCATCGTGCCCCCCTGTTAAACACATCACCTGCCATTGTTTCCGTGCGCATCCGCTTCATGAATTTGCAGGAGGGGGAGGAGGAGGAAGAGGAGGAAGAGGATGAGGAGGATGAGGACGAGGAGCAGCGACCGAGATGCGCCACCCGCCCCGGGCCCTTCCGCCGCGGGCCGGCGCCGATGCTCGCCAGGCTGCTGGGCCCGAGCGGATATCGGCGGACGCGTCACAGCGCAGGGGGGCGCCATCCCGCCATTTCGCCGCCAGATTTCAAGGGCGACGACAATCCTTCAAAATATCCAGAACATTCGAAACGAACACATGAAAAACGCACGAACCTTTACAGCTCCGCGCGGATTTTTCGGATCGGCGCTGGTGCCCCCCCTGGCGGCGCCTCTGGCGCCGCCCTCGGCGCGCTTCGCGCGCCAGCGAGTCAAAGAACTCCGCGCGCACCTTCGGAAATCATATTGCGAAGGCCTTACGGCCGGTGCCGCCGACCCTGTTTGCAATGCGCAGCAAGAGGCACGGGCTGTGGGATGGTAGAGGGGGGAAAGGCGCGGGGCGCTCTCTTCCTGTGGAAAGGAAGGACAGGGGGAGGAAAGGGAAGGCCCCCCCCCGTGTGGACAGGGGGAACAGAGGGGGCTGTGGACAGGGGGAACAGAGGGGGACGGGGGAGAGGGGGGAAAGGCGCGGGGCGCGGGGCGCTCTTTTCCTGTGGACAGGAAGGACAGGGGGAGTAAAGGGGGGGCTCCCCCCCGTGTGGACAGGGGGAACAGAGGGGGGCTCTCTGAGGCGCTCTCCTCCTCGGGCGCGGCTCGGGGGCGGCTCGGGCGGCTCGGGCGCGGCCTGAGACAAGAAAGAATCCTTACGTGGAGTACTTACGGGGGGGGCGTCGTATCTGACCCGGGACTTCCCCGGGACTCCCCCGGGACCCCCCCCGGGACCCCCCCTCCCCCCCCCGTCGGGGAAGGGAAAGGGAAGGGGCTTCCCTTCGACTCAATTACGACGTTGCTCAAGGTCGGTTTGGCTGGCGCGCTTGAGGAGGAGGCCCTGGGAAAGACCCTCCCTCCCCCTCCCGGCGGGGGAGAGATTAAAGGGAAGGGGCTTCCCTTCGAATCAATTACGACGTTGCTGAAGGTCGGTTTGGCTAGCGCGCTTGAGGAGGAGGCCCTGGGAAAGGGCGAGGGGAGCGGGGAGGAGCCCAGGGGAAGAGGGGTACCAGGGAAAGGGAACGACAGAGACGACGATTACAAAGAATGACGGAGATGACGGCTCGAACGGAAAAGCCCCTCACACACGCCGACAGGGTCGGCGGATTTTCGCCGTTCCCTGTTTCTTTGGACGGGGGGGGGCTTGCCAAGAGGGGAGGAACATGGACCCCCAGTGGCCCACTCGTCGCCGATCGGGGCCCGCCCGCCCCACCCCTCCCAGGAACGTGCGGCTTCGCCACCGCGAGCGTATCGGTGATCCATCGGCAATGTATCGCCCAATCCGCATCATTGTTTCCTCCATTAGCCGGTCAGTCCAATTCATTTCCAATTATGATCTGGGCGGCTCAAGTGACATAGTGTGACGTTTTTTTTTGTTTGTTTGTCCTTCTTCTTCTTTCTTGTGCAAACAAAGTAAAACATAAAACTAATAAAACAAAAAACACATACAACTACTGGGCAGCTGGAGAAAGTGGCCAGGGCCAGCATTCTTTCTGTCTTCAGGACTGGCGATCTCATCTCAGCTACCCGGTTCTCGCGTCCGCCCATTCCAGTGTTTCTCCAGCCTTGGCAATTTCCATGTTCGCGGACCCTTCGACCAGTATTTTTCCAGCCTCTCGGTCGTGCACCTTGAGGCCCGAGACGCCCCGCCCTGGCCCCGGGTATCCGAAGAAAAAACAGCTATCTTGGCATCGCTCGGACGTGTGCATTTTTTCTCGGCGAGAACCATCGAAGACCATCCTGGACCATCGAGCCAAACAAACACACACACACACACACACACGAAACCGAAAAATACACGGGAAATGGACGTCCGAGTGACGGCAAGCTATGGTTGAACAGTTTTTGCCCCGAGGGGACTTGTCGAGGTCTGGCGGAGAGCATGTTCATGTCCACGGCCTCGCGGCCGCGACCCCACGGATACAGGGCGGCTCTGCGTGGATGCCCAACCCTGGACGCATCCATGGGGCCGCGCATCTATGGCATGGCGCCTCGGTTCCTAGGCCGCGAGGGCATGGATCTGGATGTGTTCGTCGCTCGTGGACCTCACCGATGCTGGGCGGGCCCACCGCTGGGCCCAAGAGAGCGGCGCACGCTCGCTTGGCTCAGGGCCAGCGCGGCACACTGCACGGATCCAGGGCCTCGTGCATCGGTGGTGCACACGCCCTCCTGGCTGAAGCCCAGGGGATCGGCCCGCCCGTGGTCGGCTGTGAGGCGGCCAGGACGAGGCCTCTGATTTCGCGTCGGCTCCACGTAGGAGTGACCTTTCGCCAGAGTGACTGTTGGTGCGGGCCCATGGGGGCGCCCCATCGCTGAGCGCGGAGCGGTAGCAGCGCCTCGCGCGCCTGGTTTGGCCACCCCGCGCCCCCGTGACGCCGCGCACAGGAGGTAACTCCTGCCTGGGGCCACTCTTCATGGCATCGCTCGGACGTGTGCATTTTTCCGTCGGCGAGGACCATCGAGGAGCATCCTTGATCATTTGGCGAAACAACCACGCACGAAACCGAACAAAAACAGAGGAAATGGACGTCCGAGCGATGGCCAGTCTTGCGTGCAGCCGAATCGTTTGCCTCGTGCACAGCGCGGGCGCCCCGAGGTCTGGCCCCCTTCCCGTGAATCGGCCTCTCATCCCGAGCCGTTTGTCGACGGTCTCTCGGGGACCCCGTGAGGTGGGTAGAACCAGACCTCCGGCTTCGTGCTTCGGTCACCAGGTGAGCGGCGCAGAAGACAGCGGGGTCGTCTGCGCCGACACTGGCGCGCGAGCTGCCCGCGTGAGCTCGCGCGTGAGCGCCCTCGTCTCCAGTGTGGCGTGCCGCGCTGGCGGCCCGCGCAGGCCGCCGCGGAAGGTCGCCGTGCCCTCTCGCGCAAGGCCCGGTTTTGACCCTCGCTCGGGTGGACCTCCTCAGGTCTGGACCTCCTCCTGGGGACCCGCTTCTCCGCCCGAGCCGCTTTCCGCCGGCCTCCCCGGCCCCCCGGGAGGGCAGCCGGGGCCCAGAGACGGTCAAGCAGAACTCCGCCGTGGTCAGGTGTTCCCGGACATCCGCGGACTGGTTTTTCAGTGCGGAGCCCCAGAGTTCCCGACCGCTGCCCCGGGGATAGTTTTTGATGATGCCCGGGCCCGATAACGGGCCCCAGAGGCCGAAATCGACCACAAACGCCCACGTCGAAGCAAAGGCATATCGTTGGAGACTTTCTGTCTCGCGACGCGAGGGTGTCATCATTGACGCGAGGATATCTTGAGGGGCATCGTTGCAGGAGTTCTGCTCATGGGGGCAGACATCGAGCTGGAATCGGCGACGCATCGCCGATGGATTGGCGATGCGCCCCCGATAGCGAACCCGCAGGTTCCTGGGCAAGGCGGGCCGACGAGCCCTTGTTGACGAAGTATGGCCGATCCCAGCCCGATGCTTCCCACCCAGAGTCTCTCCCCCCCATGACGTTGCCCCTCGTGTCTGGGGCCCGCTCCCAGAACAGAAACAACTGGCAGCGCATGTTGAAGAGAATGTGCCCAGACCTCGCCAAAGGCGATGCCAAGGTGCTAGATGAGTATTGCCGCTGTCCAGGCTGTTTCAGTTTTTCAGCCGTCATTCTCGCTCCAGTCTTGAGCCGGCACCGAACCAGAAGCAAGCCAAACAGAAAGTACAGTGACGAAGTATTGCCGATTCCAGCGCGATGTCTTCCACCCAGGGTCTCTCCCCCCCATGACGTCGCCCCTCATGCCTGGGTCGGACGGGACTAGGAGGAGGATACAGCCGTTCAGAGCGTTCCGGAACGCTCTCAGAGCGTTCCGGAACGCTCTGAGGAGGTCGCGGCGCCCCAGACATCCTCCAGATCCGCACGATCTCAGAGACTCTCGATGGATCCTCACCCGCTTGGATCCCCGTCCTGGCTTCGTCTTGCAGTGGCGACCCTTGCCAAGCACCACTCTGCTTGCCTCCAGGGTGCCCTGGGCTCCTTGGGTCTCGCTGGTGCCCGGCGTCGCGCCCGGCCGCGCCGAGACGCCCTGGCCGCCCCGGGGCCTCGGAGGGCCGGGCCTCCCGCGGAGGGCCTCTCTTGCGGACGGGCCTCCACGGGGTGCCCTCGCCCGATGCCGTCCCCGCCCTCCTCTTGGGGCCATCTTGAGGCTTCAAAGACGCATCGGAAGCGACAAGGCGAGAAGGCAAACATCATGGATGGTCCTCAGGTTTCTGAAGGATTTTGGCTTTTCGGGGAGGCTAATGAGGAGGATAATGAGGAGGAGGCCTCGAGCACCGTGCCCCGGGCCGGCGCCCCCCGGGCGTCGCCGCCGCCCTCCTGGTCCTCGCGGCGTGGGTGCCCTTCAGCCCCGCCGCCCGCCGCAAGCGCGCCAGGGAGGCCGCGCGGGGCCGCGCGGCCGCCCGCGGCGCGGCGGGCGGCCCCGCCGGCCGCTGGGACCCGGAGGCGGCCCTGCACGGAGGCCTCGCGCGCTGGGCGGGGCTCGGGCCAGGAGGGGGGCGCTGGGCGGGGCTCGGACCAGGAGGGGGGCTCGGACCAGGAGGGGGGCTCGGGCCAGGAGGGGGGCGTCGGTCGACTTAAAATCGACCGACGCCCCCCCTCCTGGTCAAAATCGGCCACGATTTCCCGGCCCAGATCGACGATTTTGGGCGGGAGAGCGTGGTGTGGGGGAGCCCCCGCAAGGGAGGTTCCGTGGGGGGGGGGCCGTCGGACGAGGAGGGGGGCGTCGGTCGATTCTGGGCGGGAAAGCGTGGGGTGGGGGAGTCCCAGCAAGAGAGGTTCCGTGGGTGGGGGTGTCGGACGAGGAGGGGGGCGTCGGTCGATTCTGGGCGGGAAAGCGTGGGGTGGGGGGGTCCCAGCAAGAGAGGTTCCGTGGGGGGGGCCGTCGGATGAGGAGGGGGGCGTCGGTCGATTCTGGGCGGGAAAGCGTGGGACAGAGGTTCCGTGGGTGGGGATGTCGGACGAGGACGACCGCGCGTGAGAGTGCCCCTCCCCCTCCCCTCCTTCTCCCTCCCGCCCTCTCTCCCTCGGCCTCGCCCCTCGTCCTCGCCCGTCGCTCGCCCGCCCCCTTCCAGTGTTTCTGTCCAGCCTCGGCCGCTTCCGCGCTCGAGGCGCCTCCGGCCAGCATTCCTCCAGCCTCTCGGTCGTGCACCTTGAGGCCCGAGGCGCCCCGCCCTGGCCCCGGGGCCTCCGAAGAAGAATCGGCTGTGGTTGAGCAGTTTTTGCCCCGAGGGCACGGATAAAGAAGTTGTTAATATATTTGATAATTTAAGAAAAATAATAAAAGTTTATTGTCCTAAATAATTTTCAATTAAAGTAGTTGTAACATGTATTAAAAGTGATGGTTATAAATTATGGTTATTTAGGTAAATCCTTTGATTTTTTAATTTTGTTAGTCGAGGTCGGGCGGAGCGCATGTTCACGTCCACGGCCTCGCGGTTCTGGGCTCCCCGGCCGCGACCCCGCGGATCCACGGCGGCTCGGCGTGGGCGCCCCGCCCGGGACGCGTCTCTATGGCATCGCGCCTCGGTGCCCAGGCCGCGAGGGTCAGCTGGGCTTTGCAGGATCCTGCAGGATCTTGGCAGATCCGCAGGAGGTGCTAATCGGCATGCCTACAGGCCCTCCGGCCGAAACCCTACATGGCACCACGCTGGGCCCAGATAGCTTGTGCTGCCAGGCGGAAGGGACGAGGAGGGGAGAAGCAGGCAGACGACGACGAAGACGACGACGACGAATGCCCAGGCGGGAGGCCAGGGCCAGCGGGGCGGGCGGGCAGGCAGAAGAGGGGCCAGGCGGAGACATCAGGCAGGGAGCATGAGGAAAAGGAAGGGAGGGAAACAACGAGCAAAAGGGAAGGGAGGAGGAGGACAAGGAGGAGTGGACGGGAAGCAACCGCAAGCAGACGGGAGAGAAGAGCCACCCGCGACGAGGCTACGGACCCCACGGCGGCGACTTGGGCGGGGTGGCCGGCCGAACCCAGCACGCTGCGGCTTGGTGGGGATTGCCCTCTGCGGGATCCATCCGCCGCCCCGCTGGCGCGTGTGAGGGGTCGCCGGCGCGACGCTGGCGAACCGGCGCGCGGGGGGGGGGCCGTGCTGCCCAGCAAGGGCGGTGAGCAAGGGCGCCAGACTGGCATCGGGATGTTTCTGTTCGCGCCCTGATGAAGAGCTCTCCTGGAGTGCCCGCCAGGTTCCCGAGGCGAACCCATCCGCTGCGACGAGGCCACCCGCCCATGGCCCAGAAGGGCGACTGCGAGGGAAAGGGCACCCGCGTCGGCGGTTTTCCGTTCGCGCCCTGACCGGAAGCTTTCGGCTTGCGTTCTGACCAGCATCCCGAGGCGAATCCAGCTGTGGCGGCGACCCCCCCGAGGAGATTTTGTTGTGTATCCTCCTGCGCGTAACGGTCGCGGCCCGGGGCAGCCATCCTTCCCGGAGTAGCAGTAACGTGGTGTTGGGGGTTTGGGTCAATGCTGCTAATCGCTGCTAGCCGCGCGCGTGATCTGGCGATCGCAGCGCGCCCCCACCCCGACGTTCGCCACCCCGCCCAATCGTTTCCAATAATAATTACCCCAGTGCGACCCTACCTAGGAGTTGGAGCCCCTAGGAAAGCAGCGTTCGTAGTAACGGTAAACGCCGTCCTCCTCCTTATCCTCATCGTCGTAGTTGCCTTTGTTTTCGCTTGTGTTTGCTTTTGCTTGGTTTTGCTTTTGCTGTGCCTTCACACACACACGCATGTTTCTGCATTCGCTCACCGGGTGGGCTTTCTGATCGTACTGTTGCACATTGCTTTTGCTTTGCCTTTCCTTTGATTTGCTGTTGCTTTTGCTTTGCTTTGCGTTGCTTGTGCTTTGCTTTGCTGTTGCTGCTGTTGTGCTGCCTCTGCCTTGCTGCTATGCTAGGATGTGCTATGCTATGCCATGCCATGCTCTGCTATGCTATGCTGTGCTGCGCTATGCTATGCTATGCTGTGCTATGCTGCGCTATGCCATGTTATGCTATGCTATACTATGCTATGTTGCGCTATGCTGTGCTATGCTGGACTATGATATGATATGCTAAGCTAAGCTAAGCTCAGCGAAGCTACAGCTATGCGAAACTAAAATTAAGCTACGCTAAGCTAAGCAAATCAAAGCAAAGCTAAGCTATGCTGCGCTGTGCTGTGCTGTGCTGTGCTGTGCTGCGCTATGCTATGCGATGCTATGATATGCTATGCTATGCTGCGTTATGCTATGCTATGCTGCTGTGTTGCGCTATGTTATGCTACGCTATGCTATGCGATGCCCTGCTACGCTAAAGCTCAGCGAAGCTAAGATGAAGGTAAGCTAAGACAGCACCGCCTAGTGCCGAGGCGGGCTGTGCAACACCGCTGAACGCCTCACTCCGCCAACCTCGGGACATGAGCGTGGGCGGCTGTGTGGCAGGGCCTCCGGACTTGAGCCGAAATGGTTACGGAAGGCATTGCTTGCGGGGGCTCCGGTCCGGCCATCGAGGCTAATTCGGCATCTGTCGCACATTGCTTTTGCTTTGCCTTTCTTTTGCTTTTGCTTTGCAACATATGGCGGTGGTAGCTCGCAAGGTAAACCGCACTTTGATTTGCAAACTCGCAAGCAACTGTGCGGTGCTATGCTATGCTATGCTATGCTATGCTGGGCTATGCTATGATATGCTGTGCTGCGCTATGTTATGCTACGCTATGCAATGCTATGCTGTGCTTTGCTATGCTAAAGTTCAGCGAAGGGGTGCGCTAAGTTAAGCTAAGGTATACCTGAGCTAAGATGAAGCTAGGCTAAGCTAAGATGAAATAGGCTACCCCGGATTCCATAACAAAGTGGGGGGGGGGGTCACATTCGGGGGGGGTCTAATTTGAGCTGTCTTGGAGGGTTCGGGGGGCCTGGGCAAAGGGCCGCCCTTTCATGGATAGTCTGGGGGGGTCTAAAACTTCTTGTCTGGGAGGGTTGTGACCCCCTCCCTTTTATCAAGAAGTCTGGAGTGAACTAAGATGAGATAGGCAACGTTAAGCTAAGGGGACGTAGCTGGGGGAACCGCGGGGCGGATCCTGGGGGAACCGCCCGGGGCGAAACCCACTGCCAGGCCCTTTTAGGATAGAGAGTAAGAACCCTTCTAGGCAGAGCCTAGGTCGGGAAAAACACGCCTCTAGGATGACGACATGGGTGATCCTTTGAGGGAAGGTCGGCGGCGAGCGAAGGGGGGAAGTGAAAAGGAAAACCCCTTTTTCAGAAAACGTTTGGAATTCTCAGAAACCTTCGCTCCTTCTGAGTAGTTTTGTGTCTTTGGGGAAGGTTTATAACAATTTTTCCTAAGGCCAGAGGACTTCCGAGCCTTCTGAGAACGCCCGCCCCCTCTCACTTCCCCCCCCCCCGCGCTCGCCGCAAGGAAGGGGCGCCGCCGTCTGTGCCGTTTTGCCCTCCCGCAGGCCCCGCCTCCCGCGCACAGCTGCTCTGGCTGGTCGGCGAGGCAGTGCGGACCTCCTACGAGGCGCCCCCGGGATACTACCACAGGGCCGGCGGCGGCCGCCCGCCAGAGTTGGGGCGCCCGCCGCCAGGGGGCGCCGCGGGGCCTCCTTGGCGCCGCGTGCCAGAGGCCGAGGTGCTGTCCGAGAGCGGCCTGTCCTGGCCGCGCGTAAGAGTGGCTCTTCTACTCTTGCGATTTTCCAATTTCCTTTCGCACGGATCACCGGACAAAACTTCGAACATCATGAACGCATCGAAACTGGAGGGTTTTCACGTGTGGCGCCCAGGGGGCGCTACTCGTTCGACACCTCTCGGGCATCATTGTCTGGGTGTTCAGAATGATTTGTGGATTGTATTCTTTAAGTAAGGTGAGAATAACATACTTCTACGCCACGTGTGTTTGTGTGTATATCTATGTTCCCTAGTCAGAGCTTGCCACTGTATGGGGTCCTAGCGGATTCATTTCGTTAAGTGAGGTTTGGCGCCGATGTCGGCGGCACGCCCAGACGCCTGGGTGCCCGCGTGCCCGGTAGCTCCATGGCCCTGTAGCCCTACAGCTTTATAGCCCTATAGCCCTATAGCCCTACAGCCCTATAGTTAGCCCTAGAGCCCTACCCTAATAGCCCTATAGCCCTACAGCCCTATAGCCCTATAGTCATGTAGCCCTATAGCCCTAATAGCCCTATAGCCCTATAGCCCTATAGCCCTATTGCCCCGTAGCCCTGTTAGCCCTGTTAGCCCTGTAGCCCTATAACCCTAATAGCCCTATAGCCCTATAGCCCTATAATTCTACTAGCCCTAGAGCCCTATAGCGCAATAGCCCTAGCCCTATAGCCCTATATATATATATATATATATATATAGCCTTATAGCCTTCTAACCCTATAGCCCTATAGCCCTATAACCCCATAACCCTATAGCCCTAACACCCTATAGCCCTACAGCCCTATAGCCCTACAGCCCCATAGCCTTATAGCCCTGTAGCCCTACAGCCCCATCTCCCTATAACCCTAGACATATTATGATTGGGTTATTCTCCGGTATCATATGTATAGATGTATGTATACATGCATGCATGCATGCATGCATGCATGCATGCATGCATCCATCCATCCATCCATCCATACATGTATACATACATCCATACATAAATACATGCATGCATGTATGCATGCATGCATGCATACATACATACATACATGCATGCATGCATGCATGCAGGCATGCATGCATACATACATACACTCATACGCACATATTATACATATCATACACACGCGCACCCTCCGACGAGCTTTGCATGTACCTTCAGGGAGGCTGGCGGTGTATGAAGTCGCTGGCCTTCAGTGGTGATGCGGACGCTGCCACCCTCCCCTGAGGCTCACGCACAATCCATGGGAGGGTGCCTGTGTACATATTTTTTGATGGCGGATCTTCGCCAGAGAGGGCCTCCCTGGGAGCCGGGGTTCTCAGATTTTGTTCGGGCGTTTTAGTTGGCTCTCGGAGGTCGTCCCGCCTCGGGCTGCGTTTTGCAGCAAATATCCCTCGCGATGGAGTGGCACTTCGCCCGAACGACCTGAGACCTTTGGTGCGGGCCCGCTGGCTGGGGTCCCCCCAGCACTGGCATGCGTGCTGCATTTGTCTTCCCCCCCCCCCTCTGCGCGGCCCTTTAATGTTTTGCCGCGCCCCAGACAGCAGAAGGAATTGTGCCCGTCAACTGGCTACCTCACCGACCTTGGCCAGGCCCATCGTCGGCCCAGGATCGGTGTATGCGCCCGCCTGACTTGGCCAGGGAGGCGTAGCCATCGATCCTGGGCCCAGGATCGGCCCGGACAGGATCGGTGAGGTGGTCATCTGACCGTCTCCTCCTCCTCCTCCTCTTTCTTCTCCTCCTCCTCCTCATCCTCCTCCTCCTCCCCCTCCTCCTCCTCCTCCTCCTCCTCCTCCTCCTCCCTCCTCCTCCTCCTCCTCCTCCTCCTCCTCCTCCTCCTCCTCCCCCTCCTCCACCTCCTCCTCCTCCTCCTCCTCCTCCTCCTCCTCCTCCTCCTCCCTCCTCCTCCCCCTCCTCCTCCACCTCCTCCGCCACCTCCTCCTCCTCCTCCTCCCTCCTCCTCCCCCTCCTTCTCCTCCTCCTCCTCCTCCTCCTCCGCTTTCTCCTCCTCCTCCTCCTCCTCCTTCTCCTCCTCCCTCCTCCTCCTCCTCCGCTTTCCTCCTCCTCCTCCTCCTCCTCCTCCTCCTCCTCCTCCTCCTCCTCCTCCTCCTCCTCCTCCTCCTCCTCCTCCTCCTCCTCCTCCTCCTCCTCCTCCTCCTCCTCCTCCTCCTCCTCCTCCTCCTCCACTTTCCTAGGGCTGCTCCTGCGCGCTGCCGACCGTCGGCCATAGTCCTGCGCCAGGGCGGCGCCGCGAAGCGGGCCGTGGTCGCCTTCCGCGGCGCGTGCTTCAACTCCGAGGACCACAGGTGCAGGCGAGACTTCTGCGCCAGTCCTCCTCCTGCTCCTCCTCCTCTTTCTTCTCCTCCTCCTCCGCCTCCTCCTCTTTCTTCTCCTCCTCCTCCTCCTCCTCCTCCTCCTCCTCCTCCTCCTCCTCGTCCTCCTCCTCCTGCTCCCCCTCCTCGTCCTCGTCCTGCAGGCGAGACTTCTGCGCCGGATGGCTGGCCAATGGGGGCAGCTACGTGTGGGCCGCCCTCTCCGACTGGAAGGCTCTCTATGGCGCCCTGTACTGCCGATGGACCTGGGCGCTGGGCGACATCTCCGAGGCCGGGGCGAAGCACCCACCGCCCGGGGAGGCGAGGCCTCGAGGCCTCGAGCCCCCGGGAGTTGGACGTGGGCCCCCCAGGGGCCCGAGAGCATAGTGGCACTCGCCGCGGACTCAGATCGGGCCTCGCCATCCCTGGGGGGCTGCGATCTGCGAAACTGTCGCCACTTTCGAGGGATTCCGGGGGGGGGGTGGCCAGCATGATCAGTGGGCTCTCGCCGCGGGCTCAGACCGGACCTCGCGCCATCCCTGGGGGGCTGCGATCTGCGAAGCTGCCCACATCCGCTGCCTCCCGGGGCGCCGGGGAATCCACTTGCCCCGGCGGCGGACCTCCGGTCGTCCGGCGAGGCGTGGCTCGTTCGCCCCGCGGCCCGAGCGGTCCCGACCCTCTGCAGCGCAAGGGCGGCTCAGGAGGAGGAGGAGGAGGGGGAGGAGGAGGGGGAGGAGGGGGAGGAGGAGGAGGAGGAGGAGGAGGAGGAGGGGGAGGGAGGAGGAGGAGGAGGGGAGGAGGAGGAGGAGGAGGAGGAGGGAGGAGGAGGAGGAGGAGGAGGAGGAGGGAGGAGGAGGAGGAGGAGGAGGAGGAGGAGGAGGAGGAGGAGGAGGAGGAGGAGGAGGAGGAGGGGGGCCCTGGAAGCGGCCCCCCGGGGGCCCTGGCCGAGGCCAACACGCCGAGGCGGTGGAAGGGAGGCAGCCGCGGCGGGCGGAAGGAGCCCGACGTCCGGGACAGCGCGCGCGCCTCGAGCCTGCCGGGCCCTAGGCCCGCCGCCGCTCTCTGCGGGCGCCTTGCGGTGCTCTGGCAGCCTCGTGTCTGCGTGAGGTGCCGGAAGGCGGGAGCTCCCGTCAGACTTCAGGACCCGGTCCCGGCATTTCTCTGACAGCCCCCCCATCCCCACAGCTCGGGTCTCGTGCCTGGACATCCGGTGTCTCGATTTTTTGTCTACATGCCAGATCCCTGGAAGTCGCGACCGTGTGAACAGGGCAACTTTTTCATCCTGTGCTGCTTTTTGACGGTCTCTGGCCCCGGCGAGGGCCCCAAGAGGCAGAACAAGGTCCACAACCTTTCCGATCTTTGTCTTGGCGCGGGGGGGTCTGGCCACGTCTTCCCGAAGATCTGGGTCTCCCAGATGGGGTCCGAGCAGATGGAGTCGGGCGATCGCGCCGCATCGTCGATACACTGGGGATGCAAGTCGATGTGTAACCCGATCTTCTCCATGCCGACGTTGCCGATGCATCGCAAACGTCGCCGATGCATCGGCGACGCGGCGCGTTCCTCTGACCCCATCTGCTCGGACCCCATGGCCGTCAAGACCCAGACATGGTGATGCTAGGTGTGCGCCGTTTCCAGCGGTTCCACGCAGACGCTGAAACAACAGCATGAGCGCCGTGGCTGCCGGTCTGTGGCCATACCGCTTGGGGACAAATAAGCTGTAGGATGTTTGTGCTACATGTTCTGGTCGGGCTTGCGCCAACTCGAGGGCTTTGTAGTTTTAGTATGTCTCTCTGCGTCCAACTTGGGAGGCCCCTACCCAGACCTCATCTGCCTGGACCCCCGGAGGTCTGGACAACGTCCCCAGGGCTGGTTTATCATCCTGGGTAGTTTTCTGACGGTCTCGGGGCTAGTTGAGGGCGCCTGGAGGCCGAACATAGCAGGAAATCTTTTCGTCGTGATTTTTGTTGCGGCGCGAGGGGGTCTGGGTTCGGGAGGTTCGCGTCGTGTCGACCTGTGGCGACCCCGCCGTTGTGGTTTACCGTTGAACGCCGCCGGCAACTCAGAATCGGGCGATGCTGAACGATCTGACGTGTCGGAAATTGCCGATCGTTCAAGGTGGAACGATCCCCGCGGTGTCACAAACCAGTGCAAAGATTGACACGACACGAACCCGCCGTACGTCTTCCCGCAGGTCGGGGAAACGTAGGGCTCGAGTACCCCAGAACTCGGATTAGCCGACGCTTTCTGACGAGCGCGTCCTGGATTTTGACGGTCCAGTTTTCGTGGGATGTCTGCAGTGGCAGCTCGCGCCAAATTTCAGATTAGGTCTCGTCATTTTCATGATGGCCCCGCCAGGCCAACCCGAGCCCCCCGAACCTTCTGATGTTCTACACCTTACTTTTGCATTGATCGCCAGAACAGATTCGAGCACCAAGAAAGTACCGAAACTTAGGGGTTTTCACGTGTCGGGCCCCGGGAGGCGCAACTCGTTCGACACCGCTTCGGCACTTCTCTTGGGTGCTCGAGCTCTTGTTCCTGGGATGTGGTCCTCGAGCGCGAGGGAGCAGCACCACCCGAACCCGAGTCTCACGCCTCCCCGAGAAGAGCAGCGCTGCCCGGGCCTCGGACCGCGTCGACTACCTCGCGGCCGCGGTGCGCGCGGCCGGCGCCGCGGAGGCCGCGCTGCCCGGGCACGCGCTGCTGCTGACGGGGCACTCGCTGGGCGGGCTGCTGGCCCTCCTGGCCGCCGCGGAGGCCCGCGCGCGAGGGGCCCTCCCATGGCTTGGATCGGCGGCGGGCCTCTGGTCGCCGAGCGCGTTCCGCTACACCCTGGGCGATGCTTAAGAACACTTACGGGTTCGGCCGGAGTCTCGATGATTCTTAACTCTTGAACGTAAATCCCAAGATTTTGATAGAAGTTCTGGGTGTTATTCGATTTCTGAGACTATGAATTTCTTAACCCATGATCTCTTAAGCATTTCGAAGGGTGTACTCGCAAAGTGCTACTCGCAAGCGTCCGAAAAACACCCGTCTGCATCGATGTACTTTATCGTGAATCTCCCATGGCGGATCCAGGCCGTTTGCGAGTAGTGACTTTGCGAGTAGCGGAACGCGCTCGTCGAAGTCTGGGCCTCTCACGACCCACCAAACCACCCCAGCCCAACCCGAAGGCCTCACTTTGCCTTCCATTTCCAGTTTGGGGGGGTCGGGGAAAGTTGAAAAACCACAGATGGAACCCGTACCCCCCCAACGCGAAATTCGGGTCAAGTTCGGGTCTTCGGGTTGGGTTGGGGTGGTCTGGTAAGTAGTCAGCCTCCCAGGTGGGGTCCGAGTAGATGGGGTCGGAGGATCGCGCAGCATCGCCGACGCATCGCCGATGCAGCTCGATGTGGAGCCCGAGTTTCTCCGCGCCGACGTCGCCGATGCATCGCCGATGTCGCCTCGGCATCGCCGATGCATCTGCGATGCATCGCCGATGTATGGCCGATGCGGCGCGATCGCCTCCTGGGAGGCCCTCGTCACCACCGCTGGATGCGCCTCGAAATCCCGGTCAAAGCGCACCTCGGGAGAGGTCTAGGAAGTAGCGGTATCGGTACCTGCCGGTCTCCCCAGTGACTTGGATCGGCGGCGAGCCCAGGGGGGAAGTGAGAGCGGTCGGGCCTCATCAGAAGGCTCGGAAGGTCTCCAGCCTTCTGAGACCGTTTCTGAACCTTCTCTGAAGACGCAGAAAACTTCTCAGAAGGCGCGAGGGCGTCTGAGAAATCCCCGCCGCCTTCTGAGAAGGCCTGCTCCTCCTCACTTCCCCCGGGCGCGCCGCCGATTGGAGGGGGGTCTCAGGTGGCCCAGCATCGGTTCTGGCCAGCAGGGATGGGGGGGATGGGTTTGAGGTTCTGGGTTCGGGAAGGTTTCTTGCCTCTCCCTGCCTCCGGGGATGTTCTCGGCCCCCTGGGCCGTCGGAAACGGATTTGGGGTGAAAAATTGCACCAGATGGACCCCAGGAGAGGTCCAGGGAGCGATCTTGCGTGGATTGTGAAGGCCTTGCGGCCGGTGCTGCCGACCCTGGAAGAAATCCCTTGATGAAGGTGACAGCCAGAGTTGGGAAGGTTGGGACCAGACGCCCCGAACAGTTCCCCTGAAGCCCCACGAGGTTCCCCAGAAGCGTATGACGAGGAGCACAGCTTAGCCAATCTATCTGCCTATGTGCTTTCGCAGAAGGGGGGAATCAGGAGAGGGACGAGGAGGATGAAGAAGAGGAGAATTGGGATGATCAAGAGGAGGAGGAGGAGGAGGAGGAGGAGGAGGAGGAGGAGGAGGAGGAGGAGGAGAAGAACGAGAAGGACAAGGAGGATGAGAAGGATGAGGATGGGGAGGAGGAGACCTCTTGGGAGCCTTTTCGGTGCTCGGGGAGCCTCAGGCTTCATGTATATTGGGGACATCTTAGGTCAGACGGGTCATCTTCGCCGTCTTCCAGGGTGGAAGTCGAGCCTACTCGTCTCGTGGAGAATTCTGTGGGAGCCTTCTGGAGGCCCTCTTGGGGGTGTTCGGGTGATTTCAGGCGACTCTTTGATGAAGCGGCCCACGACCCATCCCGCCGCCGTGCCTTGGTATGATGCTGTCGGGGACCTTGTGGGAACCCTCTAGGAGCTCCCTTTGGGCTTGCTTGGAGGCTTCTTAGAGCTCTCTCCGGGCTTGTATAGAGTGGCTCCAAAGGACACCAGGAGGTTCTAAACGGCCCAAGGGGGCCCCATGAGGGCTCCCGAAACAGCCCGCAGAAATGTCATACCAACGGTTCCTGGCATGATATTATTTAGGGCTTACTTGGAATTCTGTGGGTGCCCTCCGTGGGCTCTCTCGGGGCGCTCGGGCGATTTCAGGCCCCTCGTGGATTATCTTGTGGCCTCCAGCCCATCCCGTCACCGTGCCTTGGCAGTGGGTCCGAATCCTAATGGATGCTTCTTGGGAGGATCTCTTCGGAGGGCTGTCGGGGGCCTCTGGAGGCAGTTTGGAGGCCGTTTGTGAGCCTCTTGGGAGCCTCTTGGGAGTGTCTTGGGGCTTACTGGGTGCCTCTTGTGGGCCTCTTGGTGCCTCTTGGGGGCCTCTTGGAGCCTCTTGGAGCCTCGTGGGAGCGACTTGGGGCGGTGAACTTGAAGTGTCGGTTCCTGTTCGCTCTCTGGGGCCCCTCTTCGGGCATTCTTGGGGCCGTCTTGGATGCCTCTTGGGCCGTCTTGGGGGCCTTTCGGGCCGTCTGGGCGCCCTCTGAACGGCCTCGTCGGCCGTCTTTGGGTGATCTTTTGGGCCTCTTGAGCCGTCTTAGAGTGTTGGGAAGCCGAAAAGGCAGAAACGATAAACTCTGTCAACAACTACCGGACATTCAATACAGTTTGCTTCTTGGGGCCCTCATGGGAGTGCTTTGGGGGCCTCCGGCGTCTTGGAGGCGCCTTGGGCCGTTTGGAGGCCATCTCGGGCGTCCTGGAGCAACCTTTCGGTGACTTTGGGTCCTCTTGGGCCCCTTTTGGGACCTCTTGGGCCTGATCTGCCGAAGGAGGGCCAAAGTCGATCGAAGGCGGCCCGAAAAGGGAAGGGAAGGGAGGGGACCATCTTCTGATGACGCGGGACGGAGGGGGAGGAGGATGAAGATCAGCATGAGGATGAGGATGATGAGGGATGATGAGGATGTGAAGGCGGAGGAGGAGAAGGAGGAGGAGGAGGAGGAGGAGGAGGAGGAGGGGGAGGAGGACGAGAAAGAGGTTGAGGAGGAGGAGGAGGAGGAGGAGGAGGAGGAGGAGGAGGAGGAGGAGGAGGGGGAGGGGGAGGAGGAGGAGGAGTGGTGGAGGAGCAGGGGCAAGAGGAGGAAGAGGAAAGCCGTCACATGTGTCACCTCTCGTCTCTACTATCTGAGGATCTCTCGTGCAGCTCGTTTTTGCCGTCTTTGGCTGTCGTGGCCTTCTGTGAGGCAGTCTTGGGGCCCCCCGGTGGCCCTCTTGGGCCGTTTTGGGGACCTTGTGGCCGTGTGGTGGGCGCCTGGCGCCGTCTTGTGCAGTCGAAGGGCCTTAGGTCGTCTGGGGCAACGGGCGGCCTTCTTGGGCCTTGGGTCTCGCCTTGAGGCCAAAGTGGACCGTCTCGGAGCCGTCGTGGGCCGTCCTGGAGGCATCGTGTGTTTACGAGGGGTTGCGGCCTCGGGAGCGCGAAGTCTTTGTGTTTTACAAGGGGCTCTGGCATCGGAGGGGGGGCCGATGCGTGCGGCACGTGTCCACAGAACCCCACAGGCAGCACTTGGCATGCCAACACGCCTCAGCGTGCCCGGGGGGGACACGGTCGCGGCTTCGGATGGGAGGCGAAACGGAAGTGGACCGAGAGCAAACGCCTCGGCGTAACGCCGAAGCTCCCAGGAACGGCTATACGAGGTCTGGGCATCGTCGCAGCCTCGTTAACAGCAGTCGGCGACGCAGCACTGGTGCGCGCGAGACTGCGCGGGGCTGCCCACTCGGACGAGGAGCAACAGCGCCACCGAGAAGGGAGCGTCGGCGCCCCGGCGCCCCCGCCGTGCCTCTGAGGGGAGACAACGACACAACCACGAACCCTCGGCGCCCTGCGCGGAGTTCTTGGATCTGCGCTGGCCCACCCCGTGGCGGCGCCCACGGCGCCGCCCCTGGGGCGCGCTCCGCGCGCCGGCAGATGCAAGAGGACCCGCGCGAACCGTCGAAAGTTTGCATGCTCATCTGTCGTCGCTCTCCGTCGTCGTCGTCTCTTCCTCTCTTTCGGCTGGGGGCCGTTTTTTCGCCTTCGAGCTTATGTCTACGTCGTCGCTGTTCTTTTCCTCCGCTCGCGCGGGCCGTCCTCCGGGACGCCTTCGGCGCTCGCCTCCCCGGGGCAGTCGGCGTAGCCCCCCCCCCCCCTCGGGGGTCCCCAAACGGGGTGGTGACCACACCGTGCGGTGAGTCGGTGGGGATTCGGGGTCACCGCACGGTTTTGGGACTCGAGTCCCTCTCCGAGGATGCCCCGGGCGACAGGGGGCCTCCAGGGCCCCAAGACCGTGCGGCGACGCACCCTGCGGTGAGGTCTCTCGTGGGTTTCCGAGGTCACCGCACGGTCTGTCACCGCACCGCTTCGGGACTCCAAACCCCCCCGCCGGAGGAGGAGGAATAGGAGGCGGAGGAGGAGGAGGAATAGGAGGCGGAGGAGGAGGAGGAGGAGGAGGAGGAGGAGGAGGGAGGAGAGGAGGAGGAGGAGGAGGAGGGAGGAGGAGGAGGAGGAGGAGGAGGCGGAGGGCGAGGAGGAGGAGGAGGAGGCGGAGGAGGAGGAGGAGGAGGAGGAGGAGGAGGAGGAGGAGGAGGAGCCCCCCCCCGCCGCCTGCCGAGAGGTGGGCCTCCCGGCCGTGGCCCTCGCGCCCCCGGGGGCGGCCCGCGCCGCCGCGGCCCACGGCCTGGAGTTCGGCGGCTCGGCAGGCCGCCGCAGCGCCCCGTCGGGGGCAACGCCCAGGGGTCCTCCTCCTCCTCCCCCTCCCCCTCTCCTCCTCCTCCTCCTCCTCCTCCTCCTCCCTCCTCCTCCTCCTCCTCCTCCTCCTCCTCCTCCTCTCCCAATGGAGGCCCATGCCAAGAAACACCCTGTTCGCCTCCAGGACTCGACACAGGGTTAAGTCGGGCCTGTCCCTCCTACATGGGGGGACTATCCCAAAGTAGTGAAAAATAGTCGGGGGACTATTTTTTCAAGTCTTTTTGAACCATGTTGGAGTATTGTGTCGGGACTCGACACAGGGTCAAATCGGGCCTGTCCCTCCTACATTCAGCGAGCGAAGGACGGTATAAGATCAACTTTTTCGCTGTCGGGGGCGCCTGTCCCTGGGCGGCTGGAAAGTTTATACCCCTACGGTGCCACCGGAAGGGTATACACTTTCCAGCCGCCCAGGGACAGGCGCCCCCGACAGCGAAAAAGTTTATTTTATATCGTTCTTCGCCCGTTAATATATTGGGGGAATATCACAAAATAGTAAAAAATTGTCGGGGGACTCTATTTTTTAGTATTTTGGAGCCATTCTGGAGTATTTTGTGAATATTTGTATTCTTCGTCGAAAGTCCCCCTGTAGGGGGACGCGCCCGACTTTAGGGGCGCGAAGCGTGGCATGAACATGAAAGCTCGGAGGTCCGCGCGGACTGATTTCTCGGATCCGCGCTGGAGCCCCCTCCCCCACGCGCGCGGAGCGCGCCCAGGGCGGCGCCGGAGGCGCTGCCAGGGGGTCCCAGCGCCGATCCGAGGAAGCCGCGCGGACCTCCGAGTTGTTATGTTTATGCCACTCTTCGTTTCCCTATTCTAGGCCTCCTGGACGGGGTCCGAGCAGATGGGGTCGAAGGATCGCTCCGCCAGTGCATCGGCGATGCGGCTCGATGTGGAGCCCGATTTTCTCCACGCTGGCGTCGCCGATGCATCGCCGATGCATCGGCGATGCGGCGCGACCCTCCGACCCCATCTACTCCGACCCCGTCCAGGAGGCCTCGAGGGTGACCCTGGAGGGGGCATTTACCACGGGGGCGGTGATTGGCCTTCCGACCCAGGGTTTTCCGCATTTTCGGCCTCGGGGGTGGCCCTACCGACGAGCTGGCCCGGGCGGGGAAGAAGCGACCCCCTTCCACCCCCGGAGATCTGGGGCCCGCTCCGTCAGGGACCCTGGGACCCCCTGTGCTTCTACAGACGAGGAGGAGGAGGAGGAGGAGGAGGAGGAGGAGGAGGAGGAGGAGGAGGAGGAGGAGGAGGAGGAGGAGGAGGAGGAGGAGGAGGAGGAGGAGGATAATAATACGAATGATAATAATCAGGAGAAGAAGACGAATAATAATTGTCGAGCCGAGGCGACTCGAGCGAAGTTCTGAGTCAACCTCTCCTTCCTCCCTTGCTGCCGCTTCCGCGGCTATGTGGGATCGAGGAGGGGGCCCCCTCTTTTGTGCAGAGAGCGCGGCAGACACGCTCGCCGGCACGGGCCGGCGCCAGATGCTCGACGGACGAGCCCAGCACAACACATCGTGCACAACACATCGTCGACGTTAATCACGACATTGGTATTGCGGAGCTAGATCCACGGACGAGTTCTGGCATTCCTGAAGGGACCAGAACATCATGGAGCGGGACGACAAGAAAGCCAAGGATGCCATCCCAGAATGGGACGGCAACCCCGGGCGTTGGCGACACTTCGAGACGGCTGTGAAGTGGTTCCCTCGCACGCTCAAGCGGCAGGAGAGGGACCTGGCGGCGAACCGGATCATTGGACGCATGCTGCAGAGCAAGACGATAGCGATCAGGACGTTTGCGACCACTCTGGATCCGGACCGATATGAGAATCCGAATGGCCACCTCCTCCTCTTGGACGACCTGAGGAACAGCCCGCTAGGGAAGCTTCCGATCCCGGACGCAGCCCACAAGATCAAGCATTACTACAAGGATTTCAAGCGGCGCAAGGGCGAGACGGTGGGCGCGCTCTTGATCCGGGAGCAGGACTGCTACTCGGAGATGGTCCAGGCGCTGGAGCGCCTCCTCGAGGAGATGGGCGACAATGACAAGTTCAAGCAGTGCCAGGAGTGCTTCGGCTACTTCGAGCGAGGACAAGGCGCTGCTGGACGTGGACAATGGTACTGCCAGAGGTGCTGGGACACCTGGGACGGCAACCCCGACACCCCGGCGACGGCAGCAGATGCCGCCCCTGCCGAGGAAGCAGAAGAAGCAGATGAATATGAACGACACTCGACGACGTCTCGCTCGCAGGGCTCTCGAACATATCGTTTTCACAGACAAGAATCCATGGCAAGCAAGCTCAAGGTTTCGGAGGCTATGGCAGTGGGCTCTACTTTCTTCGGCCACGCCTCCGGAGTCCTGAAGGTCCTCCGCGGCTTCTTCCTGCTCGAGGCGATGGACTTCACCGAGAAGGAGAAGCAGGACGTCCGCGTGGTCACGCAGAACCGCTTGGACTTCGACGCGATCTCCAAGGCCTTGAAGGAGCGCTGGGAGGACAAGGCGCTGGTGCAGCGGGACTTCGGACCGAGGGCTATGCCTCGGTACGGCCCGGAGGCGGGCCAGCAGTCGGCCCTCGCCGCCGAGTTTGATGATGTACACGGGCCTGATTGGTACGATGGCTACGCGGCGGCGGTCCAGGCGTGGGAGAACGAAGGGTACGTCCACCACGAGGACGAGGACGACTACGATATCGAGGAGGAGCCGCAGCTAGCCTCAGAGCCGGAAGGGTCCGAGGCCGTGGATGAGGATCTCAACCACCTCAACGAGGAGCTCGAGGCGGCCCAGGCGATGGCGGCAGAGGCGTCACGCACTCTAGTTCAAGCCAGACAAGCAGTGGCCGCCGCACATAAGGATCGAGGTTTTGGCAAGCCACCATCGGGTCCAGGAGGGAAGAGCCGCCTTCCTCCGTCGTGGCCGCACCAGCAGCCCTCGAGACCGCCGTTCACGGGTCGAGGCCCGAAGGGCGGCAAGGGCGGCAAGGGCGGCAAGTACCGCGACAGGGACCGCGACCAGAAGGGCAAGAATGCGAACTACCTGGAGTTTCACACGGTCACGCACGGGTTCGACGAGCTCCAGGGTATGTACCAGGCAGAGCAGAACGACAGCGGCCTCGCCCCTTCTGAGGCCATGGTTGATTGCGGGGCTTCCGCGTCCGCCGGAGGCGAGCGCGCAGTCCAGGCACTGGTTGCCGCCGTTGCGGCCGCGAACCCCCAGGCCAGGATCGAGATCAACCAAAATGAAAGACCGTGGTTTCGTTTCGGAGACAATAAGTGGGGCAAGGCACTGTATAAGGTTTCGGTCGAGTTCGAGCCGGGCTTCGTTTTGGGCATCTTCGCTCTCAGTCCTGGTGTACCTCTCGTTTTGTTGGGAATGACTGCTCTGGAGTCGTGGCCGGCAATCGTGAATTTCCGAACCGGGGAGGCTGTGATCAGGGGCCAACTGGTGCAGCTTCGCAAGACCCCAGTCAAGGGCCATTGCATCCTCGATCTGGTGAAGCACGTTTCCGAGATCTTAAACCCGACCGAGCAAAACGCCGAGGGTCTTGCAAAGGCGTTTCAGAGATGGTCTATGGCGAAGACAACATCACCACCATCAGCATCATCTCAGACAAGAACGACACCATCAGCATCATCTCGGACAAGAACGACACCATCAGCATCATCTCAAACAAGAACGACATTATCAGCATCATCTCAGATAAGAACGACACCATCATCAGTACATGCAGCTATGACGACAACACCGCCAGTGATAACAGCAACAGCACCTCCATCAACAATAACAGGAAGAGCAGCTCCATCATGGTCATCTCCTCCTCCGCCGTATTTTGGCTCTAGAACTCGCTCAGAGCGACTTCCGACAATCCGCAAGCCGGCGTTTCAGCCAGCACGTTTTCATGGAGGGCAAGGACGAATGGGTACCTGTCGACATGGATGCCGACAAGAAGGAGGAGGGCGCGGAGGTAAAGTCACCTTCGGCGGCAGCGAGCTCCGGACCCACGACCCAGGTCAAGCGGGAGTTCGTCTTCAACGGCCAGAAGATGGAGTACGTCACCTCGGAGGGCAAGGTCAAGGAGAGAGATCCGGGCAGCACGCACCAGGGTCGCAAGAAGGAGAAGCAGATGGAGCTGGACCCGGCGTTTGCGCTGCAGGCGGACCCCCGCGACCCGAGGACCACACGGGGGCCGTGCGGCAAGATGCATCGCAAGTACTTCACGGTCAACAACCAGCGGGGCCAGACCAGGACATGCTATCGGTGCGGGCCGAGGCTGCTCTACATCCCGACGACGGAGGCGCCGATGACGAACCTCAGCATGCAGCATCCGAAGTTGGTGGAGTCCGGCCTGGAGTTGGTGCGGCACTGCAACCTGTGGGAGACGGCCAATCACGAGCAGGTGACCGCGATGATCAACATCGCCACCTCCCTCCGGAGGCTTCCCGGGACCGAGATCCGCCACGCGCCGGACGCGCTGCTGGAGATGCTGGGGGCAGCGAACCCCAGGCGCAAGGCCCAGATGGCGGAACCAGTGCCCGGGCAGGTCTGAGCCGGGTGCCGAGGCAGCTTCTGGCTGCCGGACGCAGGAGGTCGCTACTCGCAGGACTGGCCTTAGTCATGACCGTGGGCGCGATCGCCGAGGCGGTGGAGATCTGCTGCCATCCCAACAGCATGCTGACCGACGAGTGCACCAGGATCGGCCTCAGCATGGAGAGGATCAGCATCGAGAACGGTTACAACCTCAGCACGAAGGCGGGGTTCGAGGCTGCTGGCAAGAAGCTGGACGAGGTGATGCCGAAGCGGGCTTGGATATCGCTACCATGCACGCTATGGACTTCGCTCACGAATTTCAACTACAAGACCCCAGAGGCACGTGCACGCCTAGAGAAAGACCGACTTCGAGACCGACGACGTGTGAAGTATGGAGTTCTCCTGTTGCTAAAGATTGTTGACA